CCATGAAATTACTTTGACATATATGGAAATTTTCCTTAAATTTTTTTGTCTTTTTTTGAAATGTTGATATGGTAGACCATGAAATGATATATAGGAATTCGTTTGACCATGAAGTGCTATATAAGAATTCGTTTGGTCATGAAATGAATATATAGGAATTTATATANCCATGAAATTACTTTGACATATATGGAAATTTTCCTTAAATTTTTTTGTCTTTTTTTGAAATGTTGATATGGTAGTTATTACTACTGGGTTTTCTTTTTCCAAAGGTTTTCTTTTTTGACATCCTATACTTTGGTTTCAAATTTCCATGTATTATATATAAATTCTTACATCGTTCTGTCACAAATCTCTCAATCGTTAATCACTCATCACTCAAACTTTGTTGAGGAAAATAACAAAATGTTTAATACTTGCAAGAAATTTCACCTTCCTTTGTTATATATGTTTATCCTTTCTCCATTTTTCTCTTGTATTCTTGATTCTCTTGTTCGGGCCTAATGGTTTTCCTATTCTGTTGACTAAGTAGAATTAACTAATGTGTTGCAAAATTTCAAGTGGAACATACATAGCTAATGATTGATAAATTACGAAATATTGTATAGCTTTTCGAAAGGATATCAATCACAGTTACAATTATCCCACACACTATCTGCTGGTGATATTCAAATTTCAACTTTATCAAGTGATAATAAGAAGAAGATCCTTAAAAACTAATTCTTCTTTTTTTTGGTATTGATTATTGAAGATACTTTAATATAAGATAAAGTTAATTGCGAGAATGCTTAATGTTAAAAATCTTCAAAAAATCTCATAAAATATAAAAGCAATTAGAATTTCTATTATCTAAAGATTCATTTTAACATGTTTTTAGTGTGATACAAAATTACTGCTCCGTTCAAAAATTACTATATATATTTAAAGAAGAGGAAGACATTTTAATCTTCAATTTCTAAAAACTAATCCTAATATGTCAAAGACATTTGGACTGAAATAGCAATGGTTGCCAAGCCTTTGGAATTTCCAAGCAAACACGAAAACAGTGCAACCTAATAGCCGAACTAATGAAAAACACAAGTCTGAACTGGCCAGCCATATGGAAATGTCCTAGCCAGATGATTGATCTACATATATCAAATTATCTCAGTATCGGAGTAGACAACTTATTTCTTCCTTGCAAATTGTTTGTTCTCAAAATCGAAAGGCCTATTTTGTCACTTACCTGATTGATTTCGGGTGACAGACCGTGCCTGTCGCATATAATGTGACAATGTTTGATCCTTTGACCGCTTTACTGATTCAATTTTTGAATCGTAAGCACGTAACGTTACGGGTATATTACACATGTATGAGAGGTCACGTGGTGTCGATGACCCAAATACAAATGTCTTCTTTTCATTACGTTCCATTCCTTTTCTATGACCATTTGATAATGCATCAGCCATTCTCGTTCAAATTTTACCCTTACTTGTTATGATAATTCTGCTAAAAGGATAAATAGTTCGTTGACACTTCTGAAAATCCAAAGAGTAAAAGCTTAAAAAGCCTATTTCCATTCTTTTTTTTCACTTCCAAACATCAATATTGATAAAAAATTTGTTTCGAAAGATATTTCCAAACATTCTTTTAACTAAAAATATTTAAGGGTTAATCAAATTTAACATAAGAATGAATAATGAATGAAATAATCGAACAAATAATAATAATATCTTTTCCTGGAAAAATGAAATGAAAAATTTTCACACTCAATGAAATATGCTCTCTCACTCCCTCTCTCCCTCTCTCTCTCCTTTATTGAGCGGTATGAAAAAAGTGAAATGAAATGAAATGGAATGAAATGATAATTTTCTGATCAGTTTAGCAATGTAAAATTCCTATTGAAGACAGTCATACAAAGAAAGAATATATAAGTTCAAAAGCGACAATGTACGGCATTATTGAAAGGCTATCCTTAAAAATGAGAATAAGCCTAAGAGCCTGAGAGCCTCACAGCATCCTTGGCCGCTGCTATGAGATGTCGATTCTCTAAGAGGCTGGAAAGCACAGCGTTATGAATTTATTTTATCCTATTCCTCTATTCTTTCTATTCTTGCTCTTTTCCACTATCACGATTACATCAACTAAACTTTTACGAAAAAAAGGGAATGGCTTAGTTAAGTTTTATGTCCAACTGGCCTAGTTAAGTCTCATGGCTTTATTTTTTTCTCTTTCTGAAACATTCAAACATACATTTCTCTCTATTGGAACTATAAAATGCCTCTCAAAGAGAGAGAGAAGTTCATTCCAATTTCTTCTTCATTATTTTATTAGAGAAATTTTTGTCAATAAAATTGACAGCATGTAGAAAAAAAAATAAAAAAATTGAAGAAGATTGAAAATATTTCATTTATTGGTTTCTTAAGATAAAGAATTTATCATTAATCTTATCAGTTTATCGTAGCAGTGACAAGTCAAAGCACTCAAATCATCTATTACTCACCTTTTCTTATCTGATCTAATCATTGTACTTCTTCTCCACTCATACAAGTTACTAACAAAACAGTTATCTGCTGTGTTATGAATATGCAAATCGAGATCTGTCATTCTTCATTTAAAATTTGAAATTTCAATTATCAAAATGTATGTATGCAAATATCCAACGAAAATTTCCAAAACACACAACTTAAATTGTTAAATTGACAAGAAAATGCACATTTTTGCTAATTATGATCAAAATAGCAATAATGCATCTTTAAATTCCATATGAGTAATTTAAGATTGTGGAAGTTTCACAACGTTAAATGATAAAGAATGATTAATTTTTTGCAAACAGAGAGCTTAAAACGAACATACTACAATACTTATCATCAGAATTACTAATTAAAATTCATTTTTTTTACTATGCATTCATCATTTATTTAGGTTTAGGTTTAGAATAATTAAAACAAGATGATTTAAATTAATAGAAATTAATTAGAATGATAATCATGTATGATTCGATGCAGACATTTAATTTCAAAAATACTTTTTAAATGAGAGATAGATAAATGAGCAAATAAATAAATAAATGAAACGGATAAATTTAATGTTTTATTCCAAAAAATACTTTTAACTTTTTCTAGCTTTATGATGAATGCATAGTAACATCGATACTGAACACGGCGTTTTTTAAGAATGGGTAGCAAACTGATTTGTCTCGCAATGATGATAAGTACGAACGAATGAGTGGAAGATGGTACTCCGATGAACGAACGAACCCTCAAGGTTATGTTAAAAATAATTATGATTGCGGGCAAACTCTTCAACTAATATTGTATTTTCCAGTGCTTTCAATTTTTAAATTTTACACAAAATATCACACAAAATTTACCATTTAAAAGATCTCAGAAGCGAAATTTGCCACCAATTTAACTGAATGAAAGCTTTTGAAAGCGGATTAATTTGATGCTAACTATATCTATCTTTCTGCTATCTAAAATTAGGAAATCATTAAACAAAAAGGATCATATTGATAATTTGAAAATGGACAAATTCAAACAATTTTGAACCCAAATGAAGTTATGCACTTTTTATCATATAACTGTTAAACTGATAACCTGAACATTGACAGATCCCAATAATGTCACTATTTTTTAACTTATCGAACCAATTGTTTCAACATTATTTTTGAAAAGAAATGATGGTATGTCTGAATATTTGAAATTAGAAGCTGTACTTCCAACTCCAAACTGCGAGGATTAATAAGGTTTCGTTGTGGAAGATTTACGTGATTAATATTAAATATGCAAAATTCTAATTTCACGAGGCTTGTTACACTGTCGTTGTAAGAGCGAAGTACGGAAGTGATGATATGGGTAAATGTTTTCATTTATCCTTCGGATAAATGAGCATAACGCATCAGATTGCACATCTCTGTCCAAACAGCTGCCCATAACTATTGCATCCACGAAATTCTTTTAATCTTTGTTATAAAATGACGATAATTTTTGGGAAAAATTTATTTCACAGAAGCTAATAAATTGGACAGAATAAACAAAAACCACTTCATCTTTATTGTCTAGAAAACGACTGCTTCTGCTATTTTTTTCTACGACACAATTTAAATTCTAATTAAAATATAAATAATTTCCACACAGAAACTGCTACAAAAAAGTGAAAATTTAATCTCTTCAAGCACATCATCACTGTCGAACATGAAATTTGCTGTCAAAAAATTTCACTTGAAAGAAATGCAGAACAAAGCAAACCCAATGACAGAGCGACATGAGATTGAAGAGATATCGCCAAATCAGTTTTAGAAATGACCAGAATAGATCATAACAATACAAAGTGAAAATTCAGCGGAATCAGGTGAAGCAGGAAATGAGTTGATAGTGAATATGTTTCACCGATTATTTTTAAAAAATGACTATAAACTCATTGTATAGTAATAAAACATGCAATAGCAAATTTTGAGGGTTTATAAAAATCAAATTTAACTGGCAAATGTGGTATTGGAAAAATCAAACTGGATTGGCGATACTGTGAACTTTTTAAAATCTATGTTAAATATAAAACTAATATTTCACAACACAACAAAATGGAAGTGTGAGAAATTGATGACAACATCTACATAATTCATTTTATTCTCAACCAAAGAGCTCATGTTTTTAACAGGTACATGGCAATTATAAATTTACAAAGACAGTATTCCCTTGAACAAAAGTAACAATACCGAAAGCGCTTTAAAAAGCAAAGCAAAAAATACGACAGCTACAATTTCTTACGACGTTCCCAAAATTAGAGCCACAATCATGCCATATAAACCCAATACCTAGAACGATTAAAAAATTAAAAATTAAGAATAGAAGTTTAACAATGAAGTTAAAAAAATTAAAATTAAAGCGCACCAAACAAATGTGAACTCAATTTCTATTTCGTAGCTTTCTTATGCAAGTTCTACTTTTCTCCAGCTGGTCCTCTTTTAACAGAAACTCTATTCTGCTAAAATGTGAAATGAGGTTTAATACCTCACTGAGAGATTTCTATCTTCATCCAACTAAAAAATAAACTCTCTTATTTGAAATTTTATGCTTACAATCGAAACCAATATTTCAACAAAGAAATAATACCTACCTCAGAAAAGATCAGAATGAGGATCATGCCAACGAAAAGCCGTGGTTGTTGAGCAGTTCCTCTGACTCCCGCATCGCCCACAATACCTATGGCATAACCAGCACCAAGACCGCACAGGCCACAGGTAAGACCAGCAGCCAAATGAGCGAATCCTTTATCTAAAGTATAACCCTCTGAAGCTTTTGTTACTTTGCCTTTCAGTACCATTGCCACCTGCAATATGAGAGGAATACATAACTGTTATATTTTTTTGAAAATAACAATAACAATAATTTAATAAAATTAAAAACGATTCATGCTTTCTTTTTTATTGAATATTATGTATTCAAATATCTCTAAATTGTGTAACTAGTTATGATAATGATTTAAAGATTAAAAGATCATATGTAATTCTCCAGTAAATAAAAGAAAATATCTTCACCAAATCCTCTTGCAACTGCTCCCAGATATAAAATTTAAAAAATATGTACACTTAAATATATCAACGTATTTCATAGAAAACTAAATATAAAACTCACGACTAGACCGTAAATACCAATAATGCCAGCCATAATGACGGGAATAACGGATTTCATGATCAATTCGGGACGCATTACACCCATACTCGAGATACCCACAGCTGATTTAGCAGTACCATAGGCTGCGCCAAGGACGGTAAATATCTGCGCTGATGCTGCTCCCATATACCCAAAGAAGGGTGAATAAGCTGGGCTTTCTGCTGCTGTCAAATCGTACGACATTTTTAAGTTTTCTGTTTATTAGAGAAAATCTGAAATATAAAATGTTCCTTGCTACGAGGATGTTTCCTTCCATCACTAGTAACTAATATCGCACAGTAAATCTGGATCTGTAACTTTTGCATACGACTGCAAAAAAAAAAAAACTCAATAACGGTGATGAAATGCAAAACAGCGATAGGTATCTCCACAAACGATTTAAAAACACTATTTACAATGGAACATAATACCTACAAAATACCAACAAATTCAAAAAATGCATCGTACAAATGCGAATACTTATCCCAAAGTACCACTTTCAGTTTTACATGCATTTTTATTAAATAAAATACAAATTTTTTGATTTTTCATCTTTTCTGTAGCAGGAAGTTTGTCATATATTAAACTGAAAATAAGATAAAGCATGAAAAAATTAAAATACAATTGGTTAGAGTATTTTGAAAATAAGCTATAGCATTCTCTCCGTAAAATTATTTGGATTTCACCAAAATACTTCCAGGTTTCGCACATCAAACAAAAAGATAATATGCCTTCCGTTAGGTAACTACAGATGGAATAATCTATGCGCTATCAGGATAATGCAGACTGCAAATACGAAATCTCATTTCAATGATAATGACAGTTGAGGAAAAATGATCTTTTCCACCGATATTAAAAGATATTTCAGTAACGACGAAATATTGAAATTAAAGCTATTTGCTAGAAAAAATCAGCAAGTCAATGCTTGAAGTATTACAATATTAAACTCTCTTTAACATCAATGAAATAAAATATCTCACATCTCCACTTAATAAAAAAAAGTTGTGAAATGAAAAAAATCATTATAATGAAAAAAATACATTACATCGACTACAGTACAAATTATCAGGAAGAAAAATCTACTGCTTTAATGGAAACAGTTGCTAATCACAACACAATACCTACCCTTTTCCCCCTTCCTGGACCTCGCCACCCTCGTCTTACGATTACAGAACAACTCCTCATGATGAAATATTGAATGTCCTTATCGAGGATCTTTCAATCCAAAACGTCCTGAAGCTACTTGTTAAACTGTCTTAGTCGATTAGATATGCGAAATTTTGCGTGTGTTTGCCAAATATGCGCACGACTTCCTGCAAATGTCTTGTGCATAAGTTGATTATACGCGAGAATCTATTGAGAATAAATATATTGTAATACATTGCAAGTGAGAAGTTTCAGAAAGGTAAGAGCAAAAGCATACAAGCAAGATTAATGAACTCATGACAGGCCTACATACCTATATTCTACGGTTTGGCAATGTCGAAAACACACCAAGTGATATCAATTCATCAGTAGTAGGAATACATTTATAGAATATGAGCAACAAATTACCACAAGCCTAAGATATATCAATTTTATAAAACTTATATTCGTGATACCACCATCCAGCAACTGCAAGTATACAAAGTTTGTAGAGTCTGTATATTACAAAGCTAGATTTGATTACTCAAGTATAATTCATTGTTTGCTTTTTAACTGAAACCAACAACATTCTTGAAAGCGTTATGCGACTTCAAATAATCGAAGTATCAAAATAATAGCCTTACTTTACCATCATTTCGCAGGAAGAGGAAAAAGTCCTCAACTAACTAACCATATGCTGCCATAAGTAGCACCACCGCATAGATTTTTAACTTGGAATAATCAACAACTTTAAATTTGGAACAATTCGAAAAATTAAAAATAAAATAAGCTGTGAAGCTTGACGTGTGTAAACGATAATTAAAAGGAATATGGTAGCGTGGTATCACAATTTTACTGGAGCATAATGTACAAATGTGTGTATAAAGTGCAAGAAAAATGGAAATGTGGAAAAACGTGACATTATTAAATTAGAGTCTAGGAAAATCCCTTTATACTGTTATCGCACAATGAATATTGAACTTGGATAAGATCTTTCAAATCCTAATAAGCAAGTACATTGCTAATTTCTCAATTTAGAGCAGTGTGTTCAACACTTTTGTATCAACTAGATATCAATCAAATTATGGTCAAAGCCGCCATACTGATACCAAAGCCTTTCTCATAATTTCCAGAATTGTAAATTCTATTCCGCTCTTATTTTGACTTCGAACCGAATGAATCCTCATATAATTTCAGGCATTTAATCCGAGTAAAATAATTAACATCCAGCTTTTTTTCTAAAACATAAAACTAAAGTTTATCTGTTTTTATCTATGTCTTCCAAACACGTCATGTAAATTATGTTGCTCCCAGGATCAGAGCAACAATCATGCCGTAGAGACCAAGCACTTCAGCGAAGATAAGAATTAAAATCATTCCTATGAAGAAACGCGGTTGTTGCGATAACGCTCGAACACCAGCGTCACCGGCAACTCCAATAGCGTAACCAGCGCTGCAACCACATAAACCACATACTAGACCTCCAGCAAACATACTAAATCCTTGATCGATTTTAAAGCCATCAGCGGATGATGTTACGCGACCAGCATATATTACAGCGACCACCAATCCATAAATTGCAACAATACCTAAGAACAAACATAAAACAGTTTCTTCTCAACAGTTCTCGATGCATTTTTAGAGGTATTCCTGCAGAAATGAGAGAACGGAAAAAATTTTTCCTCATTATAAGAATCGCATTAGATGTTCTAACAACACTGATAACTTTGGTAATAGCCTGTTCATTCATGCAGATTTCTTTCCAAATGTTTTTTCCAGAACTTTCTCGAATCTAAGATTATTACACTTTCAAATGTGGATGTTAAAAACTTCCTAATGGAAGCAAACGTCAACTATATTAATAGTGCAAAAACCGAAGCTTCCTAGTATTTTGCAAAACCGCTTATGATTTAAATGATGCGAAAAAACTTGAAAATTAGAAAAGTAAAAAAAAATTCCATCCCAAAGTGTTTTACATTACTTTGACATCGATAAATGCCCAGTAAAAGTCTTAAAGTACTTCAACTATCAAATATGAAGAACTCACCAGCCATTACAACAGGTATGATGGCTTTCATGACAAGATCAGGGCGTGTAACAGCCATGGAAGCAATACCCGTTCCTGATTTCGCAGTACCACAAGCTGATCCAGCTGCCGTAAACATCATTGCAGCGGATACTCCAAGTGTACCGAAGAAGGGTCCATACATCGCATCCTCCGCATCCGTCGTAGGCTCATATATCTCTCTAGCTGACATACCGAATTTCTGAAATAATTTTCTTCCAGCACATGAGAAAAATGCATTTTTAACAACACTGCCACACCTCAAACGTCCAAGACAATCATTTCTTGAACAAAAGGATTTATTTCTTCTTTGCTTTTTTGTTGATCATTCCGCATCGAATGCAATCTTTTCTATTTGTCAATTAAAGAATCATAATTTCAAGTAACGAATTTCAGGATGGGGTAAGAGAATGCATTTTTAGATCAGTAGAATATTAACAAGCAGGTATAAAGTTTAGCTAACAATTTACAATAGAACTATTAGCCCTTCAATTCTCCGACTTTTAATGCAAATATTAGCAATTCTTGACAAAAAAATACCATCTTATTGAGAAAATTATCAAGCAATGTTAATGCCTTCTCTTTCAAATATCTTCCATATTTTTGATGTAATATATGAGAGAAGAGAACAAAATACTATTTCATAGAATGAGGTAAACTGAGAAGCACGAGGGTTAAGTAAAAACTCAATGTAATGACGTAACAGGACTGCAGATCATGGCATGTCTTTTCCTCTTGCATGAAGAGAAAGAGTATCACGTAAAGAGAATTCTACTCCCGCTAAATTTCCTCAAGAAATCTCGGAATGGGATCTCGACAAGCGCGTTGACATCCGCACGAGCACACAAATGCAGTGTCGAGTACGACAAATAAGTTGCCCATGGCGAGATGAAAACACTCACAATAACCAAAAATCGAAAAGCACTACGGTAACGCCCGCGTCTATAGCTGATTGGAATGGCTTACAAGCGATGCGATGCGTCGCGTTTTGTGTTAGTGTGTGGTGGGAACAGGAAGGGACGGCGGTTGAGAAATTTGAATTTGTGCTGTTCTGAGCACGATTGTGCGGGATTTCTGATGATTTCATTTAGGAGCAACTGTACTTTCATTCTTCTACTTTTTAGCAGCATAGCAGAGGGTAAAGGTCAACACAGTAATTACGGGCGATTATATTCTTATTAGGCAAAGACATGAAGTTCGATGCCGTGCTGAAAATTTTCAGAAACGGGTATGGACTTGTTTTGTTTCTCATCCTTTCGTTTTTTTCCCACTACTTTCTTCTGAATGATTGAGATGAAAAGTATTGGGAGTTGAACATAAAACAAATAATAGAATGCAAAAATAGCAATATTACTAGTTAGGGCCGCAACGGTATCTGTTAAGTTTATTTTATCATATCTTGCCATAAGTTGAATGCTTATTGAGAATTCAATGCAAAAAATTAGAAGCAGCTAATGGTTTTAGCATCTCTTAATATTTTAAGGGAGAGAGTAGTTTGTTAGGGAATGAGATCTGCAAAAGATAGTATGAAAAAGTGCGTTATAAAACATTTGGAATACTATATTAGTCTCCAGAGCAGTTGTAATCAATAAGTGTCATCGTAAATCAATGGTTTTAAATGGTCATATTTCCAGAGTACAACTGTGGTACTTCAAGCAAATACCACTAGCTAATTAACAGTCAAATGGTATTACTGAGATCACAATAGTCTTTGAAAAATTAAAGTTCATTAAGAAAAGGTGAAAATGTTGAGATGTTGAATTTCAGATCATTATCTTAAATTACGTCAATATGGATCCTGCAGATTATTTCCTTTCAATTAAAGATTTGACTAAATAGCAATAAAATGGTGATGAAGAAAAGGAAGACGAAAGTGACTCAATTGGGGCGACGAAGTAACACACGAAAAATGGTGACGAAGAAACGCAGGCGGAAAAGAAACATCGAGGATATAGAGGTCAATCTTTTTAATATTTCAGTAAAGAGTTTTATTAACGTGTCACTAGATCTAATAGGATGACCGCCAGAGATTTTTGGGGTCTAAAATGCGCGTGCATAATAAAAAGTAAAAGGATTTTCAACGGTTGCTTCCATTTTAAGTTCACTTTATCCTTGGAAATCTATAATTTGATCCCGTCGATGGTAATGCTGATTAAAATGTTGCGACATCGAGTTTAGTACCGACTTCAAACTGTATGAACTTTTTACAATTGATATTACTTTTAGAATGTTGAGTTGCAGTCGATACCTTCCACTTCATCTTTACAGTCTCTAAATTCATCGTCAAAAGGATTAGTGACTATGCAGAATAACAGTAATGGTGATGATGTAATTGGAGACAATTATTTTTCTTTTTCTGAGCTTCCTTTGAATGTGCAGAAGAAAATTTTGTCTTATTTGCCTTTGAAGTTAGTTTCTTTTGATACCACAGGACTAAACCTTTTTCATATATTCATTTTGATTTATCGTATTACCCACTTTATTTCCAATATGTCATATTTTATCATTGATGAGGCTTGCTAAAAGTTTATTGATTCAAGTTCTGACGTGTATTCGGTATCTTAATGCAAATTGCAGATGTCGTGTACGTTTGGAGCGTGTATCGATGACATGGAAAAGATTGTTAAACATATCATGGCAGAACATCACTTTCGCGGACATCCCATCGACCGTAACGAATTCTTTTCAAATCCGGCCAATTGATGACCATCATGTTTGTGGCTTCTTACAGAAATGCGGACGTTATTTACGCCACATTGATTTCTTTATTCCTCATGTTAATATCGGCAGACATGTATTGTTCAGGTAATTCACACTCAGCAGTATAGTAAAAACTTTAAGGGAATTTTTTCGTGAACATCTTTTAATTTTTTAGGTATCTAATTATTAGATTCTATTTCGACACTATGCCCATTTTTATTCTCACATTTATAATTTCAAGCTTGATGTTTGCAGCATCTGTCAGAGATGTGTAAACTTGCGCGAATTACGTTTGATAACGGATGTAAATGGCTGTGCAATGACAAATCTGCTCAAAGAGTATAGCCATCAGTTGGCCCAACTCCAGTCTCTCAGTATTAGTTACCAGGCTCAAGATGAACTCTATAATGGGATGCGGTAAGCTTTGTCTTGAGTTTCAGTTCTAAAAATTTATTCTGTGAATGAGGGACATTGTTTTCTCGTATAATGAAATGTTCATCTTACCACTGGTATTTTAGGTTTAGCACAGTTTCGAAAAAGTAATTAACTTGATAGATAGCTTGATTCTATTTATTTTATATCATCCGATGTTGATTTAAATGGTTTTCAGTGCTGTGGCACGTTCAATGACAGAATTACGTTCTTTTCGTTTGGATTGTTATACAATGCCTGCAAATGTATCCGCTTTATTTCCCAATAGTCCTCATATGAGGATCTATTCGCTTTTATTGAAACAGGTAGGATATAGCTTATATCAGTTAAATTTGATTTTCATTCGTTTTATTCTCGATTTTAAGTTAGATAAAATCTTCCAGCCAGCTAATGTTGGTATCAGCAGTAGTTCATCAATTGGAGGATCTGCTCTGCAGTATGAATGTAAATATGTTCGTCCTGAATTTGTAATTGACTTCTTTGCTTATTTGGGGGATGTGTATCTCGAGCTTGAACAACTTGATATCTCATTTGATACCAATTATCCAGTAAATGAAGAGAAAATATATCATAATTTACGGTTAGTGCCTACTTTCACTTTGTGGAGTTTTAAATTCATGTTTAATTTAAATCAGGGATTTAAATCAATGACTAATTTACCTATATAAAATGACTTCAGTATGATCGGAACAACGCGTGCATTAAAACGTTTGAACTTGCGAATTGCTGCGCTGCTGGATAACAATACGGAATGGTTTGGAACGCGAGCCTTACAAGCGCTTGCCTATTTTTCGACGCTGACGCACCTATCGCTATGGACGTGTGCTCTACCATTTGATTTACCGCAGATATTGGCGAAATCACCGTTAGCGAATAACTTGACAATGTGCGCTTTTTATTGTTGAGTTATTTGTTGCGCTTATTCACCGTTACAGTGATATAACACTGCTATAAAGTGGTTTTATTTCATTAGCTCGGCTAACACTAATGCTATAGCAATATCAGCATTCTTCAGATCTAACTTTATGATAAAATCGAAATCCAGTAGGTATTTTTTGATTTAGAATGATCGGAAATAATTGTAAAAGAAACATTCATTCTTAATTAATCTTTGGTTACATTAGATCGAAAGAGCCATGACGTTATGTTAGAGGAATTTTTTTGTATTATTGGTCACTTTGACATTCAGGCTTCGGTTAGCCATTGTTCGCAATCTTTCAAACAATATGTTATGCGCCATATTTCGTGCATTACCATCGCTCACTTCATTTACCTTGATATATAGCGTTGATGGACGTTTCATATGTCCAGCTTGCATTGATGTGCTGACTTTTGTGCAGTTATTTCAGGTATTATCTAAAATTTTTCTCCAAGTTTCGTTATAATAAGTTCAACACCACAAAGGCTGAATGATAATTGGAATACTGATCAAAGGAATTCTAAGAAAAAAAATCGTAGCTGATGCTATGTGCTATAATCATGTTTTCTAGTGTTGTCCTAAGATAAGCGAACTGGAGCTGCATGATTGTGTTACAGTGGATACTACACGCTTGGTTATAGCTGCTCATTCGCATTTTCATAATTCAAGCACTTCCTTAGGGTATGTTTTCCAATCTCTGTCTTTGATAATCTTTGTTCAACTATTTTAAAAATAAGTGAGGGCGCATTATTAAAGTATTTTTTTGCTTTCAGAAATGATGATCGTCTAAAAATAGTGGTCAAAACAAGAGAGCGTAAACGACGCCGTGACTCATCAAGTAGATTGTTGCGTTGTTGTACAGAGATTGAAAGCACGCAAAATACGACGATTATCAATATCTACAAAACATGCTGTCATCCGAAAAAGTCATCTCCTGATCATCGATAATTTATCCATTTGGTTTCATCTCTTAAGGTTTTTATACCGGTGTACTGCGTTTTAACTTATTTATATAGAAATGTTTTGTTCAATAGTGGGAGTTGATACGTTGACTTCGAGATTTTATTTATTCCTGAAATAAAAAAATCTTCCAGTTACTGTTTTCAGTAAAGCATTTGAAACTTTTTAATGCGTGTATTCAAGACTCATCAACTGCCACTTTTTGATTTCAGATGTGATCATTGTCTTTTGAATTGTTCTCCTCGTCTTTCCTTTCATGTTTTTTATCTTAATTTTTTGTATGAATAGCTTTGAAATAACTGTTTACTGGCCTTTTTATGTTATCTTAATTTCGCAGGAAAAATTTTTAAAGTAACACTTCTAGTTATTTTTAATATCGAAGCGGTTTTGAGAATTCTTCCAAAATTTATTTTGGGTTAAAAGAATACTTTCGGAATTTTTCTTGTTTTAAAGACCTTTCACTGTTGTTCTTCTATTGCCCCATTGATGTTTTTTGTTGCTTCCCTTTATTCTTCCAAATTTTTTGATTCCGAAAAAGAGATTTCGATTTGTGTTGGAAAATTAAGAATTAGAACTAATTACTACAGTATTTAACTTCTTACCTCTTACAGCATGTTAATAAATCAGTATTTTATCTTTTTTTAGTGTTTCTTGTTACGAAAAAAATGCTTTATTGTGGGAAAACAAAAAAGTAGCTGTTTACACTGGAATTTTTGAAGTTCCAGTTTTTTTTCAATTTGAAAGTCGAAATGTGAGGCTAAGGCTTATCTGTTTTTGTCCGTGTTTGTACCTGTTCCTCCTGTAAAGTATTTGCGTTCATCGGGTTTTTGCCTCACATATTTCTGTGCCACTTGCTGCGTGTTGTCTTCTGCTACTTATTACTGGCTTTTTCTTTTTTTACTTGTAAAAATATGTCCTTAATCTGTTAGATAATTTTTGGGCATTTTTTTAATTTACATTTCAAAAATTTTTAACTTCAAGAGAGATTTGAAGCAACTGCGAAATTACTTTGTATTCTCGAATGCTTTCTTAGAGAATATTTCAAGTTCACTTCATGGTGTCCTTCTGTTTTTCAGTGTACGATACTCAGAAATCACTTCATGCTTATTCAGCATTCTATCATCTATTGTAAACAATGAAATTTGAACTGAAAATTTTTAAACTGGTAATATTTGTTAGGTAAAGTTTTATATGCTGGTATTTCTATGAAACTTTCGGTGTATTTTACATTTCATTCCCTTTCTTTAGTTAGTAGTAATATCTATTGTTTGTTTTGTGCTGGGCTTAAAGGTAAAAGTTGTTTTTCTTATTACGTTTTATTTCATTTACTAATCTTTGTTTTTGTTGCAGAAAAAAGTTTTTTCTGCATACATCAGACGGTTGCATGCTTGCTTTCAATGAAATACGTTTTTGTTCCGAATAGAGGGAACTAAATGATCTGGAATACTTGAAATTAGCATAGATTTGTGAGGAGTAATTGAGTTTAATCGGATGAAAAACGGTAGCTTGCTAATCTACTCGGATAGAGAGATAAGGTTGAGAAAGAAGTAAGAAACAAATTCGGTGAAAGAATTGTATAAATAAACTTAGAAAGCTTTGAGCTTTATTTCGTTAATTCTGACGTTTGATATGACTTGGGAATAGATTCGAAGTTATACTGATTTGCATTTGAGATTGAAGTCGTTGAAAGAAAGAGTGTACAAGAATTACAAGAGCGGGAATAACTGCATTGTTATCAGTTCATGTGAAGAATGTGCTCAAATGCAATGAATATCGCTAATTATGAAGTGGTGGGATAGGGATATATTGCATGCAGAGATATATTGGGGTTCAGGAAACAGGATTTTTGTTATAGAATGTAGTGCTGTTAGCATTTCAGAGCGTTACTTTATCATCACAAGCACAGAAGTTCATAACATGAATAATGTCGGTATTTAGTTCAAATTACTTTTCAAGTTCTCTATGGATGGTGTTACTCAATTGATTCCAAATGCGTCTCCATATCATTTTATATGAAATGTTGGGATAGCTCGGGATTAGAGTAGTACGAGATGCAAAACACGAACTAATACATTTAAATTCATCTGTAAATTGATCCATGAACATTTCGGAAAGCAAGGTATTAGTTTTTCAGAATGTATGCTTGCTATTGTGAAAAGTTATAGTGATGGTTTTACTTTTAAATGCAGATTCGATATTTGAAGAGAAAAATATTCAACGGTTAGTTTTTCATTTGAGGATTATCCTAGAGTAAAGTGTCATTTTTTTCAAATTTTTATTTGATCAGTTTTAACTGTCTCCTTCTCTTTCTTGAGAGAAAGAAAGAGAGTACTGCCTAGCTGTACTTAAAGCGGATCATAAAAATTTTGCTTTTCCGAAACTGCTGAAGTATTTATGGTGTTTTCGCGGTTTATTATGTGATTGGATGGCGTATGGTACCAACAGCATGTTTTTAAGTTGTGAGGAAAAAGGAATTTGTAAAGAAGCCTTCCAGCTGGATCTATATCATCGGTGTGGTACTTTTTATTGCATTTATTATCGGAAGCTGGAAGAATTATGTTGATTCAGATTATCAACTTTTCCACTGGTAGGTTTTCACTGTTTGTGTTAGTACAGATTAATTATGGCGTAAATCATTTCCTTGTGGAATTGAGAAGAAATCGAGACTGGCTACTGATACTCGGGTGATTGTTCAGTTTTTTCGATGTATTCAGGCATGTCCCACTTGCAACTATCATTCCGACTCATGTGTTATGCGTATTGGTGCCATATCGAGACCGTGAGACAGAATTGCAAATATTCGTTCCTCACATTGATGATTTTCTCAATGAACAAAATGTCCTTCATAAGATAATTGTTTTAAATCAGACTGATGCGTTAAGGTTCAATCGAGCATCGCTAATTAATGTTGGATGGTATGAAGCTGATCGAGTAATCGTTCAATTATATATATTTTTTAATCAAAATATTTATATATCCTTCCACCTTTTCTAATATTCTTTTATCCTTATATGTGTCTTTTTATTCTCTCGCCACATGGAAGATATATATATATATATATCCAACCTATTCCTTTATCCTAATAGAAAACATCTAAACTTAACAACTAAGAGCTGATTTAAAGTGTTTTAGGTGTTCAACTTTTCTTATTTTAGGTAGGATGTGATTATTTAGTCATGCATGATGTCGATCTTTTACCTCTAAATCCACAGTTAGATTACTCATACCCAGGAAAAGGTATTATTCGACACATATCTTCTCCAGAATATCATCCGAAGTAATTTCTCAATATTTTTTTACCTAACAACAAATACTTGTAAGATTTTATTACTTTTTATTTCTTTATCCTTTTATTTACAGGTACAATTATACGAAGTTTATTGGCGGTATTTTGCTTTTGACAATGTCCGATTATAAAATAGTGAATGGCATGTCAAATAAGTACTGGGGCTGGGGTCTGGAAGACGACGAATTTTATCTTCGTTTAAGGTGAGAATGTTTTCTCGTATTAGTATACTCAATTTAATTATAGACGGAAGTAGGGAAACAAATTTTATGAAGACAAAAACAGCACTGAATAGGATATTCATAGTAGAATAGAACGATCTGAATTTCTGAAAAGATCTCTGGATTTCATGATTTTGTTAAGGGATGCAAATTTGCTCTCATCTTTACAAAGGCCGGTGAATTTAACAACAAATCGTTCCAATACTTTTCGTCATATACACGATTCAAAGCTACGAAAGAGAGATGTCAAAAAATACGGGAATCAAAAACAAGTAAGCTTTAATTCCATTATTTTTTGAGTGCCCTAAAATACGCCGCCTTGTTATAGTTTTTTAGTAAATGTAGCGCAACTAAACTGCAAAAGCTATGAATCCTTTTAGATGACTCGCAAGAGAGACCGCATTAGTGGTTTGCATTCTGTGAAATATCGTATTGTTGGACGAAATCTGCTCAATTTTCGAAAGCGACCAGTGGTTTCTGTGCTCAATATTGAATTAGAATGTGACTTGAAATGGACTGATTATTGCAAAGCCTGACGTAGAAAAATGGTTCTTTTTAAATTTCATTGTTTTTAAAATGAAATCATATTATTTCTTTCTATTGATAATATGATTTCATCTTTCTTCAGATTTTTGCAAATTTTGTTTTCAAAGGTTTTTATTTGCAGTTTTAGTGCAGTTGAAGCATAATTATAGTACTAAGGCACTGAAAATTTGTTTGTTTTCACAAAATTTCATTCTTTATTTTGTAAGTCATTATTTGTTGTAGAAATTAGGTAAAATGACATTAAGCAGATTTTTTATGCTGTATGTTGCAGTTCTGTATGAGCAGAGTAGCTTTAGAAGTGATGCATGAATTGTGAAAATTAAATCGTCCAAATGGATTTTAGTAATCGGTGTATTACTTGTTCTTGAAACTTGAGGTTACCCGATTAGATTTTGTTTGACATGAGTAGGCGTAATATTTATTACTTTAGATCACCTCTGCTCCTCTGCATAATTCAAAAAGAGTAGGTAGAGAATATTCCTGTTACTGCCGGATTTTCTGATTCATCTCAATTATTCTCTTTTTTTTATTCTTTGTATATTTTTCATTCTTTAGCTTTTTTAAAGCCATTAATCTCCATAAAAAATTAATTTAATTCTTTCAAATATTGAATGGAATAGTGACGTCGGAAATCTGATAAAACAGTTTTTTTGTAACCTTTGTCTAAATTATTAGATATATTTTTATTTACTTCTAAAATTTGTTCTGAATTTATTCACGATGTAAAAAACTAAAATTAATTTCGAACTGATTTTATAAAAATTACTGCACAATTTTTAGTTCATTGGACTTCAACACTATATGAAAGATTTACAACAGCGTAAAGTTGGAGAGACTAGAGAGATTGACTTTTGTGGTTTGTATACTTTGCGTTATTTAAGTTACCATTTCTTGGTTATCATGCTAATCCAGGTTCATTGTTTTGTAAAATTCCGTCTGGCAGTTTCACGAAAGAAATTCCTTATTTTAACTGCTTTATCAATATCATTAATCCATTTTCTTAGTTGTTAAATTATAAATATTGATTACTTGAACCAAAACATCTTTCACATTTTATTGGATTTCTCGTAGAGTTATCGTAAATCTTGTAAGACAAAATGTTGATTGTGAAAGTTAAAAGCAATGGTATAAATAAGATAATATTATATAGGAATCCACAATATGAACAGGATTTTTATAATTAAGCTATAAGTTATGGTTTGACACTCCTCAATTTCACTGTTGAAATCGAAATTTGTTTTTTGAAAAAATTACTTAGGTAAACGCTTAAGGTATTCTTACTTCTATATTAAGTTTTTTTGATCAATTTTAGGTCTTGTTGAAATTGAATGATTTTGTGCTCAATAATAAAACTTTCAGCCTCTGATTTGATGTTTCTTTTCTAATTCATGTTTATTGATGTCATTACATAAATTTCATCTTAGCAGCTTTATAATGATTGATGATAATAAAGAGGTGGATAGATAGCCAAACTAATCCATGAAAAGATATACATTGTTTTGAAAATAATTCTCCTTGTTTTCAAATTACGTGAATTATTCTTTTAGCTAATCCATTACTGTTTGGTATAAACATTCGTGAAATGTCCTGACTTTATATTTACACCGTAACTTCTTTAAAAAATACAATCGGCTTTTGCCGGAATTCAGGCTGGAATTGCATTTCATATGATGACACATTTTTTTTACACATTCTGGGGGGTATAGAATATTCTGATTTGAATTTTCCATATTTGTGATGGCGTTAAGATATATGTTCATATTGCTGTATTTGGCCAGTTAGGTCTGGTCATCGAATATGTTTCTTTCTAGTTTATTTTGATGAATCTGAAAAAGTTTGCTTTTGGTTTTGTAGTATGAGTTTGGGAATCGATGGTGTTACCGTTTTAACCGATCTTCACTGGCTTATCAGGGAGTCTGAAATAAGGTGTTTGGTGGACGCGGAACAATGGTATGTTTGAATTTTTTATTTTTTTTTAATTTAAATAATTTATTCATTCAGCTTCTATAGTTTTACTAGTTTTATTCCTTAATGTGCCGAGTTTTGTTTCTTAACATTGATACTATTCTGGCTGGTTTGTGGATCACAAATAGAATGTCAGTTTAATTGTAGGGCTAGCGAAATGCTATTTTATGTTAGTGAGAATTGGCATAGTTCCTATGCAAAGCATAAGTCGTCACAGCCCGAAATACGAGAGATGGATTACGTTACGACCGAGCCACATTTGGCTAAAGTTGCTGCTTTTGGTTCGTTTTTCTGACAGTCTGTCGAAGTATCAAAATTTAGTGAAATTCAAATGAAAGATTTTGTATAAAATGTTAATAGCAAAACTATCCTTACATTTGGTGACTGTATATTATATTGATGGCGTAACACTACCAAATATCATTTTTCACTAATCGTTTAGTCTGGTTCTAAATGCTATTGTTATAATCACTAAAGTTTTTATAGGTAGAGCTTTAATCAAAAAACGTGAGTTTTATCGAGCTACTTATTTCTTGAAACAAATAAAAGATGAGTCATCATATGATCGTTTCATGTATTATTGGGCAAGATTTTTGGTTAGCAATTTGTTATTTTTTTTTAACTCATAAATGTTTTCTTTTCTGAATTTTCACAAAAAGTATAAGAATATATAGGTCATTATGATGAAAGTAGAAAGAGTAGTGTTCTGAATATACTTTACATGTTATACTTTATTTTTGGAATATGAACCTCTAAGTTGTCAATAAATTGTAGTTGGCTAAAATTTTAGATTAGAATAAGTCATAGGTTCAGTTTATTTTACTCTGTAATCAAATAAAGAACACACGTAAAAATATTGACATTTTTTACAATGTTTATTTTTGAAGTTGCTAAATTTTACATAATACAAAACAGGCGTATGAATATAACCGACTTGAAACTGAGGCAGACTCAATTGGTCGAATGGAGTATGACGATTCTGAATTTAAGGAACTTCACAATGAACTCTGTTTGCTTGGTAGTGATCATCCTGAATATTTCGATACATTTCTTCTGTATATGTTAGTCTGTTTTTCTTTATAACTAAGAGAATGCTTAATGTTAATATGGACAATTTAAGGGAGCATGGTGGGCTTCATATTATCTGAAAGGTAATCAAATAAAAATAATTGTGGTAATTTGAGCAGGTGAAATAATGAACAGCTTTTGCAGACTTGCAAAGGTGCGTTGCAGTTTGAAATTGAAAGAGAGAGCAAAGGAAGCATTCCTCGAGTCCATATCATTGAATCGAGCTATGTGGCCATCATGGGAGGAATTGATTATGCTTGTAGATTCTGCGGACGAGGTAAGGTGAATTTGAGACAAGTAACAAACATTTTGCCCAAACATTTTACATTGATTTAGTATAGATTTTCTTTACTTCACAGTTAAACGCCCATATTAGATTATTTTTTTCTTTGAATTTGCACTCAGTACAGAATTTTCGTTGTCGAACTTAAAAGAGATTTAGAAGAGATTATCCAGTCTTATTCAAAATCTATATTTACTGAATTATCATTACTGTTACAGGCTGAAATAGAAGCGTATTCTGCGGATGGGCACTGGATGTATCAGTTTTTCAGAGCTGCAGTGCTTTCTCGATTCCAGTTGCACAAGAATGCCTTGGAACAATATGAGAAGTTGAGCAAATGTGGTTTTCCAAACATGCCTTACATTATGAACCAAGTTGCTGCTTCGTTAAATAATATGCAAGGTTGTTAACTGATAGATCTCCTTCACAAATGTTGTCAGTATAGTTTTATTGCTTTTAATATTTTTCTTGTAATTTTTAATTCAGAACATGATATGGCATTGGAATTTTTCAAAAAAGTGCGCAAGATCGATCCATATCGCGTGGAACAGATGCATTTGTTTTCTGATTCTTTATATGTCCGAGTAAGTCAGTCTTTGACTTGACTTGTTTGACTTGTTTAATTGTTTAATAATTTGAAAATGGAAGAAAGTATTTTGAGATCCAGCTTTATTTCAATTGATGTTTACCAGTTTATGGGTATTTTAGATTTTAACTCTCCAATTCTTTCAGGGTTCTCGTTCAGATTTGGCCGATCTTGCTCATACTTTCTTCAAGACGCACAAATTCTGCTGGGAAACATGTTGTATAGTAGGCCAGTTTTCTATTACTGTAAAACCACCGAGGGTAAAGATTTTCAAAGTAAATATAAGAACTTATTTTAATTTGAAACCTATCTCTTGTTGGACTAATGGTGCTTTTTTTTCATAATATTTCATTATTTAAGAAACTAAATTTTAGCCAATTACTATAGTTTGAGAGGTGAACATGAGAAAGCAGTTATTTTCCTGCAGCGTTCACTCAAACTCAATCCTAATAGTGCAGCAGCGTGGACACTAATTGGACATGAGTTCATGGAGCAAAAAAATAATCCAGCTGCATGCCTTGCATATCGGAAAGCAATTGGTATTATTACAGATGTTGCCTTTATATATTGAAAAGTGCTGAAATTTAAAATTGCACTAAATTCTAAACTAGAAATCATTGAAATCAGTGATACTTGCCATTATACGGTACGAATTAACGATAAGAATGTGATCTGCCTTGCTAATTCGGATACATGCGAAACTAAAACCCAAAAATATATCTATTGCATTATTGTTAGCTAATTTGCGTGAATGTTGTTTTTATTTTCATTAGATTTGATAATAAATTTAGAAGCTGATTCGCATGATTATCGTGGCTGGTATGGTTTGGGTCAGCTTTATGACATACTGAAAATGCCTTCATATTCGCTTTATTATTACCAACAAGCACACAAATGCAAGTATGACTTTATATGTCAACAACAAATGGAGATAACTGATAGGGATAGAATTTGTTCCAAAAACGATCGGATTCTTTAGATTGTTGAATTATGAATTTTTCTGACCAGGATCGCTTGTCGCTCGAACTAGAATCACGATATAAAACAAGTTAAGCTAAGTGATACTAATTGTATGTAAAATTTGAGAATGGATTTAATGTAGACTGAACTCAAAATGTTCAGTTTCCTCACTTTCGTTGTATACTGCTTTACAGACCAGATGACTCGCGTATGTTAGTTGCATTGGGCGAAGTTTATGTTCGACTTAGTCAAATCGCCGATGCTCAAAAATGTTTTCTGAAAGCATATAAGGTTGGAGATGTCGAAGGAACTGCGCTTATGCTGCTTGGAAAGTGAAAAATATTTTCATCCTTTTTTATTCCTTATGTTTTTCTTGTTCTTCATTTATATTAATTATGTATATGTGTATGACTTCAGTTCACTCCGTTTCTGTTACAGACTTTATGCAAAATGGAATGACAATGATCAGGCTGCATTAATCTATGAAAAATATTTGAACGTTTATGGCGAAGAATTCGTAAGTTTCCTTCATACGTGCTTACTGCCTGCTAAGCATCATTTTCTTCTGGAATAGGTATCGTCATTAATATAAAGTTTTAGATGGACGACTTGAATAATGTTGCGACATGTTGTTCTTTTCTTGCCAAATATTATCTAAAGAAGGGCGATTTGGATACAGCTACCCCGTTTGCGCAACGTTGCCTGGAATATGACACCGTATGTTAGTTTTCCACAGACTGCACATAAATGCAATTTTGAAGTAATATCCATTTTAGTTCATTGTTGTAACTAACCTTGAATTTGGTTAGTTACAACAATGAACTAAATTTTAGACAAAGGAAGAAGGAAGAAATACATTGCGCCAAATAAGTCAGTTGCATCATCGGCACAGTGTGTTGCCTGAAACGCTTGTAGCTGCATCAGATGCAACACCAATCGCAGCCATGCATGCTGGAAATATCGAATGCCAAGGAATTCATGTTTTGCCCCCAGAAAATTCAACGTAAGTCAAACTTCTATCGAATTCTATCGAATTAATCGGTAAACTGGAATGAATAGATAAGATTAACTCTTAATAATTGGTGAAAGTTTTCTTTGATCATCCATAATAGACTTTTGTAATATATAAATGTTTTTTATAGTCCTCTTCATGGTTTCCACACACCAGCAATCGAAGAAGGTGAAGCTGAAATGGTTATCTCATCTGATGCCTCTGATGTTTCCGACGAATCATCTTTGAATGCTTCATACTAAATTTGTTACTAAGAATTTATAGGTTTCTTCTAAATTTTAATTTCTGCAAGCAGCCGAACCTATATTTCTTGCGGAACATTCCAAATTCCACTAGATTTCAATTATGATTTAGTGAACATTAATTTTGCCCATTTAGAAAGCACGATGTTCTTTTTATTGAAGATTTAGTTAAAACAATGAGCTCCTCTTAGAAAATTTGGAGTGAATTCTACTTCATTAATCCGAATTCTCCCTAGGAGTTCTTTGCTTTATAAAAAGTATGTCTTTAAATTTACAAAAAAAGTTCAGGAATACTTCACTTTTAAGACCAAAGATGCCCAAAGTTTGTTGCACCTTTGTTGTATTTTTAATGTATATTTTAGATTACCATTAGTATGAATTAATTCAACTGTGCCAATTTCTGAGAAATTTTTGCAAAACTCCATTTGATTGGGATTTTTATGACAATGTGAAAATCTATTTTTAAATAAATGTTTATCCAATTTTTTATATAAACCATTAAAAAAGATTAATCATTACTAGAATCGCTGCAATAATCAGCTAGGCCCTGAAGGGCAGATAATGATGGTGCTAGTGAAACGGGTAGTGATTTATCATTTTTCTCAAAATTTTTCGATATAGAATATTCTGGCAAATCTCCAGGATTGTCAATTGTATCGTCAATTTCTGTTTTAACAACTATCAGCTCATTCCTTTCCACTTTTTGTTTCTTGACAGCAACAATTCTTGATAAAAGTTCCTTTTGCGATGTTCGTTTATGTGTTACTCCAATACCTTGTCCCATACCTGGTTTCAAATCCGTTACATCAACAGACGAGCAAGTTGGTTTCTGGTCTTCTTCTACAGGCTCATGCTTTATTTCTTTTTTCATATATATCGGTAACTCCATATCTTCGTCTCCATCATCCAGTATTCGTTTAACAACTTTCCCGTCTTCCGTTCTGCCATATAATTTCTGAATGAATTTTTCATCTTCTTCTTCCTGCAGCCGCAAAGCCTGAAACAAAATCATTTCATCATCTTACAAAAAATCCGTAGTATGTCACGACGGATATTAAATAGCTCAATTAAATAATATATCTCACCTCTGCTTGAGTTCCGACTAAATTTTGGAAATACTGATCTGAGTCAAATGTTTCATGACGTCGATTTGTTTCTTGTAATTCCTCTAATTTACCTGAAAATTGAGGATTTTAGTTTGCAAAAACTGGTGGTTCATATTTATAGCGCATTTTTGTCAATAGTTACGGTCTAATGGTTTGAATTGCTTGACTCCTCCGCATTTTAATATGTGCGATGTAGATTAGGCACCAGTGATAATACCAAATCAACCACCATTCATGGAAATAAAATTTGTATAAAGCAAGTAATTCATCACCAATAGTCTTTTCAAGTTTGATATACCGAAAGTTATGTCATGCTTCAATATATAGTACGTTTTCCTCTTCAGATTAAGATTCACAGATGAATATGGGGAACACTTATTCCGAAAAACAATGTCAACACAATGAGCTTATGTCAGACCCCTATATCTCAAAGGTAAATTGATTCAATTAAATACACGACAGCTTCAAATGTACAACTGACAGACATCATTGTGACCGGAAATGTGTTTATTATAGTAACTATAGTAAAGTGACTTACAATCATTTTTTTTAATTCATTTACTTACCCAGTGCTTCCATTTCGGCTCGGCTCATTTTCGTTCTTTTTTCAAGCATTTTCATGGGATCCTTCTTTTCTTCCTCCTCTTTCGTTTCTTTTGCTTTCTCTTCCTGTTGGTACAGTTTGAAAGCTTCAAAAAGACGAGTTGCTCCATGTTCTTGCTGATAATCACAGTTTTCCAAATCAGTTTTAAATGTTATTTCGGCTAAACAATTTGGGCATCTGCAAAGCACAGTGTGCACGATTACAGACTTTAAAATTAATAACTAACTTGAATAACTAAACTGAAAATAAAGTCACTAAAAAAGAACTAACCGGAAATAAAATCTGAAGATTTTTAGCCCCAAATAAGTTTCACCATCCGCCGTCTCACGTCTCATGTTAAACTTTTTTCCCTGAAACAAAATGAGAATTAAAAAGTTTCAAAAAACCAACGATACTGTCCTCATATTTCATTCTACGCTTTTTCTATGTCGCTTCATACTACCTGTGTGATCTATGTTCGTTCAAGGTCAATTTACTTTTAATTCACATTCACGCTTATTATTATCAAAATAGCTTTAAACTGAAGCAAATATACCTTATATATGTACTCATGACAAGTATCACATTGCATATTATAAGGCACCATTACGCGCTGCACAAACTGCCTGTTCCGCTGTCCTTTTGCTCGTGGGATTTTTGAGGGATCAAAATCCGGTGGATAATATTTCTGGAAAATTTTACTTTTTTGAAAAATAGAACAAACTTACAACAAAGTTGCAAACCAACAGCAACAAATTGGATTAAGTTTTATGGCCGGACAGTTCCGAAATTTGCAAAATAGTTCATTTGTATGTATTATTGTAAGTTTATGAAGGCAATCCGTTATTAGCTTTCTTCAACTGCATTTATCTCCTTCCTTTTTTCTAAGATGACAAAATGTACCATCAATATTCACCATGAAATGGAAAAGCTATTTATAGTATCATATCTTTCTGCTACGTTTGCTGAATGATCTTACAGTGCGATGGATTTCATTATGTGATAAAATCTAAAATTCGCAGTTGAATTAAAGCGTAAAAACTAACCTGAAAAACTTTCCGCTCTGTGCCAGTCATTTTCAATTACTTCTCGCACACTCGATACGACAATCAGAAATCCTGAAGCAACGAAAAAAACGGAACAATAATTATACCAGAATGGTCCGTTGAATGGAGGAGCTTTTCGGATGAGACGTGGATTTTCACACTGTGGTTCTATTAGAGCTCGGTTATTTCCGCCGTATCCTTTGGGGTGGTTTTGTCCAATCCGGTTTTTAAGTAAGATTGCAATTATAATTTTGCGATATGAATGCAATCTTAACACAGTAAAGAAGAAATAAAGTAGAGTTCGCTGATCAAGTAAACGGTGGATTCTGGATACTAATTTTAAGTTTAAAAATTTCTCAATACCACTGGGAAGAATTCGCAAAATTGTGAAACAACGCTAAAATAACTCAAAAGTTGCTTGGATCCAATACATCCATCAATTAAAACAAATTTAAATATTGTTCAGCTTGGTGATCGAACATTTGCGCAATTTATCTCATTTAAAAGCTTTGCGTCATTAAAGTTGATGCTATAAGTGGCATCGGTTACCAGCTGTTATTATGTAAGCGAGTTGAAAAACCGGTAGCTCAATTACACCACAATAGCATGGGAAAAGATTTCGAGTTTTTTTTTTTGTCTTTTTACAAAGGGATATTTAAGAAATTTCACTCTTTCAGTTATAGTTCTGCCTTCTGAAGTATAAAAGCTTAAGTTGATTGTTTCTAATTGGTAAAAAACTACTGAATGCGTTAATTAAGCATTAGCTTCTAAATTATGTACAAATGAATAAAAAGAGAAAAGGTGTTGAGGAAGGGACTTCGATCAAATTTGTGTCTGAGTTACTTATTTTAGAATGATAACAATTGTTGAATTTTCACAAAGCATATATACAAATGATGATAGAACCTACTGGCAAGAAAAATCTTCAATTTTGTTTAATTTTTAATTGTAAATTTTGTTTAACTTTCAATTTAAAAAAATGCAAGTATCTAAATTATTGAAGCATTCCATGATTGTCTATCAATGTGTTCATTTACAATCATTTCTCATTCAATGACAGATTTCAAATCTAAAAGTTCGCCTCACATTTTTGAGCCTAAATTATTCATTCCACATAAAGTTTGTTTACCACATCTAAAGGCGTTGTTATTGTCTGGACTACATAATCAAAAAGAATGAAGTACAAGAAAAAAAAATATGTTATTGTTGATTTCTTTGAGATAGATGTGAATGGAACTGTCGTACGAAAAAACTTTAATCGAAAGGCAAATCACGAAAAATTGTAATTAGTAAATAATACAGTACGTGGAAATAATTTCTTACATTGTTTAATTTAATTTATGAAGAGCAGAATCTCATTCCAAGCAATACTTTCATCGTTTACTAATCATTTTATAAATTTATAAATGAACTTTGTGCACTGCATAATAATTAAATCTGAAATAAAAATGAAGCTAACATGAAATCCCGTTGCTTAGCAGCTATTCATTTACAATTATTGATCTTCATTTAAAAAAATTATGAAGTAGTAAAATTGTGTGTGAAATACTTGTTATACGATGAAATAAAAAGGGAGATACGAAGAGGAAAAGGGAAAAGCTGATATCATTCATCAATTTCACATTTAAATGATCAAGTTATTCGGTTCTAAGGATCATGAACATTTTTTTTTCGCTTAGCCATAAAATTGATTTCTTGAATTACAAATGCAAAAAGCACAAAAATGCTCAACAATCGTCTATTGAAATTAAAATGAATTGGAATTTCCAACCAATAATACTTTCCCTTAAATTATTAGCGGCGCAATTCTTTGATTTTATCAATCGTCATCAATATATTATCTTTTTATATCGGTTATACGTTTTGAAGAAAAAATAAATAGCCTAAGTACATTCATCGAACAAGTGCTATCAAATTTTTCTATTTAGTCCAAAAAAAGACAGTAGAGTTTAAAATTTTCTACAACTATCTTCTTATTGATAAATGTCCCAAAATAACAAAAATACATCAAAAATTTAAATTTGCATAATATTCAAATGTACTAAAACAGATAAAAGAAAAGAGAGGAAAAAATTAATAAATAATAACATTTTGGTGTTATGAATGCATTTGTTTTTTACTTGAAGTGCAGTGTTGTGTAAAGGACAGTTGAGAGAAAATTTGGATTTGTTATCAAACAATTCAAAAAAAAAAAATAGACGATCGAATTGCATTATTGCTGTGGGTAACGAATCATTTCTCTTTTTTTTATTTGTCGATTTCGTTTCAAATTTGATTTCATTGCTCTTTTCTTTCCCCAACATTGATTTTACTTGCAATAAAAAAATTTTTCCCTAAGCCTTTACCTCAATTAGTTTGTTTTAATTTGCACATACCGTTAGCTCCATATATTCTCTTAAATGATTGTTTTTATTATTTCACTAGCAACTTACATACCCATTGAGAATCGGTTTAAATTTCCACCATGAAATGTATTGCCTTATGAAAAAGATTTTCACTAAGTAAAATTCATAGGAGAGAATCGAATAAAATCAACCCATTTTCATTGGTTAGCTCATTTTGCGGTTGTTACATCTAATAAATTTTAAAATTTTTAATTTCAATTTATCCATCTGGTTGAATGAAAACTTACATTTTCAAGCAAGTTTAACGAATAAAATTGCTAGAATTTTATTTACTTTATCAAATTATCATGCAACGCTAGTAAAATGTAAGTTAGATTTTAAATTAGTTTTTTCTTTTAAAAAAAATGAAATTATTCAAATTTGAGCGACGAAAATCACGACAGTGTTACGCGATATATCATTATATGATGCGTGTAATTCATTTTGGACCGGTTTTCAACCTTCGTATTGCTCTCTTCATAGTATTTTCCCAACATTGCTCCTCACGCTCTTGTATATGTTTTATTCACATTATTTTGTACAATGAGTAAAGATTTCCCATCTGCTAAATGCAACTAAAATATTGAGCAATGCCATAGTTTTCACGTAAGATCTACGTAGAAGTCTCATATCTTTTATATTATTTAAGTCATGAACTAAACTTTATTCCTTTATCATCATAAGTTTAGATGAAAGTAAAAAGGATATTTTTGTGAGGAACAAAACCAATCGTTAATTGAGATACGATTAATACCTATGATTGTAATTAACATTGCTGCATTTTGCAATAAGTTGCGCAATATCCGACACTGAAAGTAATCACATAAATAGTATTCTCTTGAACTTCGTTATTAACATTTATTAATTTATCATCCCATGAATTATTCGCAAATTTATTTTTATCACTTTTACACTGATGAATCATAATCTTTTTGATTAATGAAAAAAATTGAAAGTGGAGTGATTCATAAAGATAACAGGAAAATTATGGAGCAAACCATAATTTCATTCTCAATTTAAATAATTTTAACTTACATTCATGTTACATGAATTTTGTTCAATATTATATTTATTTTTGTTACTGCTACATTGCTCTTCGGAAGAATGTTAAAGTTTCAAAATCGATTGTATGAATTAAAAACTGTGATTTATGTTAAATGTTTGTTTGGAGAACATATGAATGGAATGATGATTTAAAATGATTATAAGAAATTTATTGCTTCAAAAATCATTGAACAAACACTTCTTTTGCAACATGATTTCATCCTAGCGTCAGTCTATGTTCTTTCCAATTTCTTACAACGATGATAAAAAGTATACATTTCTTCCTGGAAATACTTGAAATTGTGTAATAGATGGATATGAAATTGAAATTTTTGATATTTTAATGGTTGTTGTTTACGATTTTTGTCGTTACTCAATTTCTAAAACTAATTTACTTGCTGAAATTGATTTCACAATTTCATTGGTTGCTCATTTCATTCGTTTCATTTATTTGAATTTATAAATAGACATATTCGATATGAAAAATGGTAAGAGAATACAAATTCGATTTGTGACAGTGTAGTTATCCTTCCACGGATATAACTCAATGGATTGAGCTTTATTTCATATGTCAGATTCATCCAATTTTTAAATTTCAGCAACTTCATAGCAGTTTTATTTTTGTTTTTCTTTTTTGACAAAGGCTATAAAAATTGGAAGCAATTAACAAAATTATTCTAAATGAAGAATTAAAAATAAGAGCCGCTGAGGCAGTGCAACCAATCATTGAAAATGAAAATAAAAGAGGCATGCCTGAATCTATTTTAATAAATTCATTTCTGATATTCAACACAATAATTAACATCATATAACGGAAATCTTAGATATTGATGTTACTTCGGCTTGCTTTTTACTCAATAACAACAACTTTTAATGATAATTTCGAAATTGATACAAATTAATGATAGAAATTTGAAACATTTTGTAAACTTACAAAAATGCCATGAAGCTGTTACTGTGCGCAAATATTATAATTTGCTCTTTTTTGTTTATAAAAGTCAACTTAGGAAGCCAAGCAATTAGGGAATAGGCCTGGAACAATGTACGCATCTTTTTATTCTAAAGACTTATCTTTTGAAACCAGTCTGCTGAGATAGATTATTTCATTTATGAGCCATATTTTTAGGGTAAAATATGGTTTGGGTACGTCTTTTTGAATCAAGAAGGCTTTTGGTGAAGGTTTCGCTAATAATTGGCCAAGTTGGGACAGAGTATTAATATTATTTAATATGATTCTTAACTAATATTAAGTATTGAATAGTATGAACAAATATTGAAACTGTTCAGTTAGATTAAGTGGATGGATGGGCCATGACAAACAAGAAATAATAATGACTTAACAGGACGTTACACTCTCTCACTGAATGATAAAGATTGACTGAATATTCCCGATAAGTCAATCATAAAACTTCAGCTTCAAACTGATTGAAATAGAATAACAAGGTTGAGTAAAGAAAGAAATGTAAACGAGTGACAGCTATGGTTCATCGATCAGTGAATCGATGATTGTTCTTTTCATTATATTTCTAACAATTCTGCCCTCATTTGTTATCTCTCCGTTATATTTAGCGAAGTTTGCGCTACAACTGATAAGCTAATAGT